TAAATTTTAAAACAGAAAATTAAAAGTTGTACCTAACCTATATAAAGCAATAATAAAATAAGCAAATTTAAACTTATCAATGAGTACATAACAAGAATGACAAATTTTGTAATAAAGCAATTATTATATAATTCCCACAGTTTTCCCACTGGAAACTAAATACATTACTTACGTAATAGATGGATCCACCTGTTTGTAAGCATGGGCAGCACAAGACCCACAATATGTATACCCTGCATGGCTACAAAAGAAGAATAATTTTTTCATTAATTATCAGTTTCAAAATCAAGATATTCTGATTTTAAAAACTTTAGAAAGAAATATAATGACTATAGCAAACAGCAGAATTGGTACATATATTAAAATCAGTGCAAAAAATACACAATTGTTGTATATTGTTTAAACTTTAATAGTATTTTGTTCTATTTTTTAATTCATTTTCTTTTTGGTTTTTTGAGATAGGGTCCAAGTTAGCTTTATGTTTTTTTTATGTTTTCTACATTGTTTCCTGCATGGTTTATCTCCTCAGTCACTGCCCAAAGGACTCTGGGAAGTTGTAGGAATATGCAGGCGCAAAAAAAAAATTTAAAAATTTTAAAAAAGGAATACACAGGCACAAGCACGAGGCCCAGCTTTTTCTCCAATGTTGTGGAAAGGGACTGTACATCACAGGGCAGAGTCCTATGCTCCCCTAGGCCACCAGGACAGAGCCCAGGGAGAGTGACCTCCCAGGCAAGCTAGCTTTAATATACTATATAACCCAGGACAGCCTCAAACTTGTGGCAATAGGTGTGTCCTACTTTTGTAGGCAGCTGAGTCAGATAGAAATATTATAGGCAGTCGGTCATACAGGGGGTCGACCTTCATAAGGAGACAATATGGAAGACAAATGCCTTGCAACTGTAGGAGAGACAGAAACTCCCACTGTGAGCCAGACCTCAAGCGTAAACAAATGAAGCCCCATATATCCCTAGGATGGGCATCAAGGATTAATATTCTAAATAGGTATCAATCACCTTGAAAGAGCCCTAAAGAGTCACTAATCCAACACCCCCTACAGAAAGAGCCTCTGTTCTGTATTCATATCTGCTTGCTACATGACTTGTTTCCCCATTTGATTCTGATTTAATCAACTTTACCTAAGCAATTACACTTACAATCTTATTGGTTGACCATAATTTTGTCCCACCTCATGTGCAAGTTCCCATATTTTCCACCGTAGACCCACCTCACCTCATGGTTTTGCTCTTAAAAAATCTCTAGAAAAGACAAGATTCCTTGGCAACCCACTCAGGTCCCCTTCTGTCTAACAATAAATAAATTCTGGTCTTAACCTCCCTTGTTCCTAAAATTCACTCATTTTGTTTTGTTTTGTTTTGTTTTGTTTTGGTGGAACCGGGGATTAAACTCAGACTCTTGAGCTTATTCCATTGAGCTATCTCCCTGGCCCCATGTGTTGGTTTTAGAGAACTCAAACTTGCCCGGGTATCTTTCAGGTTAGGCATTACATGCCCTTATATCACAACAACATCTGGCTGTTCTCAGCATCTCACCACCCACCATGCCATGAGCTGTTTGTTTGTACCTTGTACTACTGTTGTGCAGCCCTGTCTTGAAGACAACTGGCTATGGACTGAAGCCACTACGAACTTCAAACCAGAAGAAACCTTTCTTCCTACAACTTGTGGGTGTCAAGTATTGAATCTCAGCAAAGAAAAGAAACTAAGGCAGATTTTGGTACCTAAGAAGTGGATACTGTAAGTAGTTGAAATGTTTGAAGACGTTGGCTACAGGAGCAGTACTAGAATGCAGTAAACCAACCTTGATGGGAGACTCTGGTAGATACTCAGACCAAAATGTTTTTGTTTTATTTTGGGGTTTGATGATGATGATGATGATGATGATGATGATGATGATGATGGAGGAAGAGGAGGAGAAGGAGGAGAAGGAGGAGGATGAAGAGAAGGAGGAGGAGGAGGAGGACGAAGAGAAGGAGGAGAAGGAGGAGGAAGAGGAAGAGAAGAAGGAAGAGGAAAAGGAAGAGGAGAATAAGGAAGAGAAGGAGGAAGAGGAAGAGGAGGAGGAGGAGGAAGAAAAGACGACAATGATCAGGCTCAGTGGGCTTCAGTGGTGAAGAAAGACTTCACTGACAATTGGACTCCAGACCACGTGTTATGCTCTGGCAGAACTTCTAGTAAGACTGAGATTAGGAGTGGTGAACTAAGTAATCGGGCAGAGGAAATTTCAAAGCAGTCTAACGTTGAAGCTATAGAACAGGTATTATTGGGGGCTTGTAGCTAACTACCTTGAGAATCAAGGGCAAAAGCCACAGCCTAAAGATTTTAAAAGTTTTCAGTTTAGCCAGAAGGAAGCTCTGGTAAAGTCCGGGCCTGCAAAGACAAAGCAGCAGAGAGTTTGGTTGCTAAAATGATAAGCATTTTAAAGAGCCAAGTCTTTTGGAATAGACAATAGGAAAAATGCCTTAAGGAAATGTGAAGAACCCACAAGGCCCCAGCCCTTACAGAACTAAAATTGAAAAGTGAAAATACTTTGCTACAAGAAAAGAACCCCAGGGCAATGCTGATGGAGAAGGGCCCTTAGGGGATTGGTTCTCAGGGAATTCAGTTAAGTATGAAGCCAGCCAGGTACTACTGCCTCTGCAGTCACCAGTAAGATCGCAAAAGGGCTTAAACTACTGCTCTAGCAGGCCAGCTACATTTTATTTCATCCATGTGGTGCTACAGAATGCAAGCAGGGTCAGGAAGGTTTATAAGCAGATTTTAGAAGGTCTCAGAGACCAGGTAGTGTGCTCCCAAAAGAAAAGTTGGTGAAGCTGTTGAGTGTGCCACCAGAAGTGCAATGGAGACCCCAGAATGTTGAAAGCCAAGGTGAAATGTCTGAGGACAATCAGTGAGCAGTGGGACCAAGGGAGAGGCAAGAGGGCTACAAGCACCAGCAGTGCCACAGAGGCAGGGCCTCCCAAGCCCTTTAGACTTCACATCTCACCACGTATTACTTTGGGTGCTGGATATACAACTATAGGATTTAATGTTTGCTCTTGCTGAGTTTCAGTCTTGCTTTGGTCCTATTCTTTTCTATTCCTTTATTTCTTCCTTTTAGAATGGGGATATTAATAAGGCTATACTTTGAGGGATTGCTGCTATAGTATAGTACTTGAATTGGGATATTTACCATCTGCCTTTGTATGTTGAAAGTGTTTAACTTTCTTCTTAATTTGTGCAGGAGTTACAATAGAAAAGAGCTTGCCTTAAATCTCTGAGGAAACTTTGAACTTAGACTTTTCAGCAATCATGAAACTATCAGAATTTTGGCAATTCTTAAAAAGATGGACTAGGGCTGGCCAGAGAACTTAGCGGACTAAAGCGCCTGCTTAGGCAGAGCACAGCAGCCAGGTTCGATCCCCAGTGTGCCAAGCTGGGTGAGCTGAAACACAACTGAGACTAGGCCCGGTGGTGGCTCCTGTAATCCCAGCGCTTGGGAGGCTGAAACAGGACGATCACTATGAGTTCAATCTAGGTAGTGAGACCCTGAGCACCCTGTAGGCCCTGTACGAAATACATCAAAAAAAAAAAGAGGCCAGCGGCAGAATGCTATGGTCTATATCTAGATGTCCCCCACCCAAAGCTTCATACAATCACAGCTAGAGCTCTGGGGAGGTGACTGGATCATGAGGAAAGGACACTCAACAGTGGACCAAGCTGTCTATCTCTTCCCCTCCTTCCTTGCTCTCTCTGTATCTTGCCAGCCATGCCATAAACTATTTCTCCTCTGCCATGCCCCAACGCCATGCCACCCTACTTTGGAGCCACCTACCTGCATGAAACCACTACAAGCTATGATTCAAAATAAATATTTCCTCCCTCCTCAGAGTTGTGAATGTTGGATATTAAATCTTGAGTGATGAGAAAGGAACTAAGATGCAGAATATAATGTAAAATGAACTGGAAATGTAGCTCACTGGCAGAGAAAGTATGAGGCCTCAATACCACAAAAATAAATAAATCAGGCTCCTCAGTATAAAGACAGGATTAGTGAGCAGAAACACAGAGTATCTGATATGATCCAATCTGAGGAGCAAAAGAGAGTGAATAAGAACAAATTCTGCTATCAAGAGATATAATTTATACATAATAGATACTAAAGAAAAAATGATCCAGCAATTTTTTTAATATTTATGGTTGAAAAAAATTTTGGCTGAATAATTTCCTAATATGGGAAGATATGCCAACAGTTTCAAGAAGAGGTCTTCAATCAAATTTAATCTAAGATAGAATTCACTGATATATAATAATCAGAAAATAGTATAGATGACTACTTAATACATAGAAAAAACGTTCACTATCATGGGTCATTAGAGATACAAATTAACACTGATAGTTCTACCTTACTCAAGAAAGAAAGACATAGGGGCCGGGGAGATGGCTCAGTGGAATAAGC